TTCACCTCTACTGCTCTAGGATTTAGAAAAAGCCCCACTAACAAGACCCCCAAAAGAAAAGTGGATAGTAGGTGTTAATAAGAAATATTGATATGATTTTAATAAATGTCTTATGTCCAGTCAGACTGCTATAACAAAACAATGCAGACTGGGCAATTTATGAACAAACCACCACAACTCCACTGGCTTGAAAATCAAAGGATGAATCGCCAGCAGCATCTGTGTGTGCGACCTCCTAATCCTCACAGACGGCACAGTCCGGTAGACGGGCTGAGTCCTGCTGAGTCCTAACACAGCAGAAGCTGCCCTGGCCTCTCTTCACAAAGGTACTAGTCTCACTCACAAGGATGGAGCTTCAGTGACCTAACAACCTCTCTATGGCCACCACCTGTTAACATCATCGCAGGTTGGATTTCCATACAGGAACCTGAGGAGGGACACGAGAATTGAGACTAAAGACTGAAGTAACACAGAAAATTAAAAAAAAAAAAAAACATATATACAAAGCTTCACCTTCATAGCAATAAAATAAATACAAATTAAAGGACAGAAGTCATACTGCTGTGATATGATGCTTCTGATTTTTCAGGAAGATACCAAAAAGGGAGATAGTTGGATCAAATGGAACTTCTGGTCCTGCTCCTTGGAGGCATCTCCACACTCATTCCCACACTGGTTGCACCAGCCTGCACTTGCACCTACAGTGGAGAAGGTTCCTTTTTGCCCAGAGCCTCTCTCGCATTTGTCATTCATTGACTTCTTGGTGATAGTCGTTCTTTCTGGGGTGACATGGATCTCAGTAATGTTTTAATTTGTACCTCTCAAATGATCAGTGGTATTGAACACTTACTCATATATTTATTTGTCATCTGTCTACTCATCTCAGATGCTGATTTTTGGACTGGGTCTTTAATTCAGGGGTTTTGATTCTTTTCAGTTCTTTAGATATTATAGAAATCAGTCTTTTTTCTGAGGAACAGCTGGCAAAAAATTTTCCCCTTTCTGTGGGTTGCTGGTGATTTCTTTTGCTGCACAAAAGGTTTTTAATAAGACGGCTTACAAATCAGAGGCCCAATCTGAGCTTGCTAATCCCACCACATCTGCAATAGGGTTAGTGCAGGGTGTAGCGCTGATCTTGGCTTCCAGTTTCAGTATGGAAGGCCTGTGCTTTCAGCCAGTGGTTTTCCAGAAGGCCTGCCCAGGTCTGCCTACTCTGTTTGTCTCAGCATCGCTCTCCGAGTGGCCGTGGCACCTGCAGACAGAGGCAGCCTGAGGCTGCTCCCAGTCCCATGCACCAGGGCTCCTCCTGGATCTTGAAAGCCTCTTCCACTCCCCAGTGCTGGCTCCTCACACACTGGGGTGGGGGCTCTGACTTCCTCACCCTAGGCTGCTTACATCCTGCACCTTCAAGAGGATAGAAGGTGGGTGAGGGGCCTCGGACCCCAAATCCATCCTGTTGGGCTCAAGTTAGCTGCACTATTTCAGTGCATCATGTTTTCTTGGAAATTTCCCAGAATGGTGGACCTGCCCTGCACGGGGGCAAGACCCATGGGCAGCCCTGTGAGGTGGATAACTGTTTTACAAGCCCTATACCTATGTTTTACTTGATCTTCCAGTCTTTTATTTCACATTGCTTTGGGCATATGGATGGATGTCCCGCCCTTTCTTCAATTACCTGTGTTTCCACTTTCTCTGAGGAGCTCCAACATGGCACCGCCTCTATTCAGCCATGATGAAGGCAGTCTCAATAACCCTCGCTTAAAACGGTAATGGATGGAATCAAAATGATTTATAATTCAATGTATGTATATAAATGACCCTTTATCCAAATCATACCCATTATATTTTCATATAAACTTCAATATTTATATTACCTTTACCCTATAATTCTCAAAGTCTTTCCCAAAGTATTTTCTGACTGTCTAATACCACCGCGTCACAGAATTGGTTGGTCTACCCTACTGCATTTAGAAGTTGCCTGACAAGCTCAATACATGACATTCAATAACTCTCTATTCAAACATGCAAATAACTAGTAATAAAATTATGTAAGTATAGAAGTATTTCCGAACAAGAGAAAAAAATCCAAAAATACTACAAGAACATGAAAAAATTTTTGACAATTTTAGGAAATTATAAATGTTAACCAAGATAGCTGAGTAGATGGGCAGAACATTATTCTTGGTAAGACTGTCCTTAAGAAGATCTGTCTCTAAGAAAGGCCGAGGCTCATCATTTGGGAGTTAGCGGGCAGGAACAGCTCGCCGTGCCTGGACTGTCTGCATGCACCACACTGCTGATGCTGAACATCCGCGTGCCTTCAGAGACTGTGGAACATTTCTACATGCTAGCCAGAACCTGTCTATGCAACCAGCCCCAATAAACACTTGGGTGCTAAGTCTCTAAAGGGTGTCCCTGGGAGAAACCCAGCACGTATGCTGCATTCTCCCTGGAGTAGACCATGCCTCATGTCCTGTTAGGGGAGAGAGGTTAAGGAAGCCCCCAAGCAGACTCCTCCATACTATCTGTATTTCTCCTCTGATCAAGCTGCATATCCTTACACTGCATTGCAATAAATCTTAGCTTAACAGTACAACTGTACGCCATGTGTTTTCTTGGAAATTTTCCATATGTGCCCATGCTCTTAGGAAGTACAACATAACACCACCTTCTCCAAAACTCAAGCTTCTTACCTGCTGATAGGCTTCATAGATCACATCAAATAGGAAGGCCTGTGGCATTTCACTTGCGCGGTATCTCGCGCGTTCCAGTGAGTGGTCTAAGCAACCTTCAGCCGAGGGACTGATGACAGTAGACACAAGAGGTCGGACTGCTCCTGCTGCCTAAAGCACCAAAATAGGAAATAGCATAATTATTTCAACTACAGAGCATTTGAAAGGAAAAACTACAGATTCTGTATCTCACTTTCAGCAATGAATGTTACGTAGACCTTCAACAGCTTATCTCAGAACAGCATCTGAACAAATGCTTGCTCAGTTCACAAATCAATGTATTATCTCAGGCCAAAACCAATTTCAGTGTTGTCATTCTATACACTATAGAATAAAAAATATAACTCTCATAATAGGTTCAAAATCCTTTTCCTCACGAGTTACTTACGTCACATACCATTAAAAGAATGCTGTTACAGCTTAAATATGAGGAGCCCCTCTAGTACTCATACTGAGGGCTTACTCGCCAGTGTAGTCACAGTCACCCTAAAGAACAGGTTGGACCATGAGGGCAGTGACCTCATCAACGACTTAATCCAACAGATGCATTCAAAGCTGACTGGGCTGTTAGAAGTTCGGGTCAGTCGAAGGAGGTATGTCGTCACTGAGGTCAGGCATTGAAGGGATCATGCTTGTGTCTAGATGACGCCCAAAGCCTCATGAAGTCCTGGGATGGTTCTCAGTCTGTGACCGATTCACGGTCCAATGCTGAGATTACGGGTGGGAGTGCTACACCGGCCCTGGGGCAGGAAGCCTGCATATAAAGGAGAGAGAGAGGCTTGCTCTCTGCCTCTGCCACTCCCTTTTGCTCTTCTCTTTGCTGTTTTCCACCTCCATGAACTGCTGCCCTGTGCCATGGACCACTCTGCCTTGGAGGCAGCCGAGTAACAACCGAAACCTCCAGCACACTGTGAGCTAAATAAACCTTTTATTCCTAAATTCTGGGTATCGGATATTTTGTCCCTGCGAGGATAGCAAAGTAACCAAGACAAAGCATGCCTTGCCGCACACCCTTCCACTCGCTGGTGGCCTACTTCTCGGCTGCGTGAGGTGAGCATCCTTCTCCTGCTACCTTCCTGCCTCGAGGCAGCTGCCTTGCCAGGGGCCTAAACTAGTGGGGCCAGTCAGCCAGGAACAGAAAGCTCCAGTGCAAATCATCTTTTCCTCATTTAAATTGCTTTTCTCAGGTATTCTAGTCATGTCAACAAAGCACAGACTGTCACAGATGCTGACATATAACTGGGTATTCCCTGCAGATGGGAAGAAGGAAGAGAAACTGTTATGAAATAAGTGAAGTGAGTTACAAATTGATGTTACTAATAAGTTGTCTGTAGAACATTTAACTTAAATGTTACATAATTTAAGGAAACAGTCAAACTCGCCAAGATCTCTAAACAACCCAAATAACAATGAATCTATGTCTGACTCTAATTCCTTTGAAAAACAGTTTCTTTCAAACACAACCTCCACAAAAGCTCCTCTCGCAACATATCCATTGATTTTCATTAATATGATGAAAGCTGTCTCATTAATAATTGCATCTAAACTTATAAAGAGACACCATGATGTGTGACAATTGTCCCTTTATTTTAAATGGGGTCTCATTTATAATGCAGTCTTGAATGTCATGACCAGACAGGAGGCTTGATGAAGTTCTTTTAAACTAAGGTTCTGTTAGCCACACCTTATCGTGACTCCAAAATCTCCTTTCTTTCATCCAACTGTCACATGAGCATCACAGTAAATAAAGCCAGCATCTGAAAGGAACAAGTGTGCTTTTGAAGAGCCCAACATCAGAGCAAGACAGAGTCCACATGCTGGCTCACAAAGGCAAGGCGACTGGCTGAAAATCAAAGCCAATGCACGAGCCAAGCAGACAGTTCACAAATTGCATCACCATTTCCAGTGCCTCAAGTGGAAATCTGGAGCAGGCCTAGATGTGACACGGAGGCAGCTGGGACTGAGACGCAACAGCCCAGCTAGGCAAAAAGCAGATAAGGAACAAGCTCAGCTGGCCAAGCCTGACACTTGACAGGGGTTAGAAGACAGGGAAGATGTGGACAAGTACCCACAAACACGTACTGCCTTTTAAGGAAAATATGAACTGTCTAATGCTACTATTACAGATAATGCTAGAATTATATCCTAGGTCACGAATTCTCTAAAAATTCACTAAAAGACAACACGAGGTGTCGAAAAGGTCACTATGCAGAGTTCAGCAGACTTCTACCCCAGCAAAACTAGCAAAAGATTATTTTCAAAACAATTTAAGCCCCTGAGCTTTTAAGCCCCTTAGGAAAAAAAAATACTTAATCTTCTGAATTTTGGTTTTTAAAAAAGTGTGAGGCATGAGCCATGACCTTTTTCTTTTATCCTCCACCCAGCTCAGTGTGAAAGAAGCCCTGGGTGGGGGAGGTACAGCTAAGAACACACGGCTCTGGCTCTTCCAAGGGCCCCACAGAAGAGGCCGAGTGCCATTAGTTTGCCTCTCTTTGGCAGCAGGACACGGAGGATAATCTCCACGCAGATCTGACCAGGAAGTTCCCCCACATTTACAGGGTGCAGTCTCCAGGCCAAGAAAGGACAGCAGCAAGGACACAGCCAGTCTTCACTGTTCCCCTGAAGCACTTGCTCAGGAAGCTGTCACTAAGAGAAACAGGACACTGCGTCCAGCCACAGAGCTGAAGCAGGAACACAGGGGTGGTCATGGAGGAAGAGCAAGGGTCTAAGGGATCTACAAAGCTCTCTAGAAGATGTATTTATTGGGAATAGGGGATAGGGAAATTTAAGCCTAAAGGTATTCAGCTAAAGGGTAAATTATATGGGAACCAAATAAGAGGAGAGTTTTGGCTACATGAAAATAAAAAAAAAAAAAAAACTGGACTATGGGTCATCTAGTGTACCAGAGGAGACAAAAGAAAAGTACAGCCAACCAGAGTGCTTTTGGCACCCCAGCCAATCTCAAATATTGACCTCAAAAACTACCCTTACACACAGGCCAGAGCTTAAGTAGATGACAATTACAGTGATTATGCCCCAAGCATTATCAGAAATGTATATAAAGTACAGCAATTAGCAGGTAATGAAAGAAGTTTAACAGTAAGGCTATAGTAGTAACAGAGCCAGACCACAGAAGAGGTCAGGGAAAGAGCCCTGCTAAAACCGTGGCCCTTCCAGAGGTCATGTAGGCATCCACATCCCCACCCTTTGAACAGCAGCAGATAATTTTCTTTGCAAAAGAAAAGCCTTCAACTAAAATATACTAACCAACTTATGTACAAATAAGCAAGCAATTGTGTTTGGAAGCTTAAAGTTATAGAATCAACACCTGGAAATTAAGAAGATTTTCTTTATAAGATACCTCATTTTTAATTTAAAAAATGCATCTAAAGAGCAAAATATGGGGTCAGGGAGATGGCTCAGTGTTATGAATAAGTGCTTCCCTGGCAAGGGCCTGAGTTCAATCTCCAGTTCCACAAAAAAAATAAATGAATAAAAAATAAAGAGCAAAATATGACCTACACATGGGGGAGAGCTGTGGGAACAAGCTGGAGAAACTGCCTGTGAGAAGACCAACACGTCAAATTTAGCAGGTGAGAGACTTCACATCAGCTACGATGAGTATTTCTAAAGCATGAAAGAAAAGCGTACTCGGCAAAAAAGAAAGGCACGTGCTCGCTTCGGCAGCACATATACTAAAATTGGAACGATACAGAGAAGATTAGCATGGCCCCTGCGCAAGGATGACACGCAAATTCGTGAAGCGTTCCATATTTTTAAGTAGGATCACAAGTCTGCATCTTGTACAGCAATTAACCACTAAGAAGAATATATGCAGTGTATTATTTGTTGAAACTGTACTTTC